AACATATAGATATATACAGTCTCGAAGTAAGACTTCCTTAAAGTCTACGTGCTTGTAACTGATTCCTACAAGCAGTTACCTCACACTATTACTCTACCTCCAACTCAATCACAATCTCCGTCTTCTTACTATCTCTCTCTGACTCTGGGTATTTAATGGCAGCAGTACAAATACATACTGGTCGAGTCCACTTATATGAAGAAGGGGAGGATCCCATAACACCCCCCTCCTTAGATCCCTTTGGTGGTGGTGGTGGGGGGGAGTTAGTATTTTTGTCTCTTATGGTTGATGATCAGGGGTTCGACAAATTTTCTTTTCCTGTTTGACCTTCTCACTTCTGTGTCTTCCTGCAGTTTTGTATCTCAAACGCTTTGAAGATTGTATCCATAGCATCGTCGTTTTCTGTGATTGACGAGCTTGGCTCGTCAACCCTTCTTTTCTGTAATTGGTCGATATGTCTTCTATGTGAAAACTTCTCACCTTTTATGGTGTACATTAGATTCCCTAATCTATTGATTACTGTGCCAGGCTCCCAGTAAGCCATATTGTTTCTAAACATTTTAAAATAAACCCGTTATCCAGGTTTGAATGATCTCTTTGGTACAATCGGTGTATACTGTTTTTTGTTCTTGTTTGGCAATAATTTGACAAACACTGACCTTATTCTCCGTGCAAACATCAATTCCGCTGGTGAAAGACTCGATGACATGTTCACGTTAGGTGTTATTCTGTACACTTGGAGGAATTGTTGTATAGCTTTTATCGTCAGTACATCCTCGGCTTTTTTAATGCTCTTTTTAGTGTGTTGACAATTCTTTCAGCTTGTCCGTTCAACCTCGGGTGGTACGGAGCTATCTTGATGTGTTTTACAAAATTCTTTAAAGCCACTGGAGGTAAACTGTGAGCTGTTATCACTTACCAAGCAATCCACAACGCCAAATCTCGTGAATAGTTTGTGTAACCAATTTATGGTGTTTTCTGTCGTTGGGCGTTTAAATCTGGCAACCTCTGGCCATTTACTAAAACTATCTATTGTTATTAAATAATAGCAACCTTCAATGGGTCCTGCGTAATCCACATGTATTCTGGACCACGGTCATGGCCTTTGTATAAAAGGTGGTGCTTTCGCCGCAGCAGCACAGACTTAGCAACTTTCCACCATTTGCGCAATATCATCGTCCATGTTCGGCCAGTAGACAAAACTTCTCATAAGTGATTTCATCCGTTTTTTTCCGGGATGTCCTAAGTGAAAATCTTTTAAGATCCTTCTTCGTAGTGACTTTGGTATTACTACTCTCTCGTTATACAATAATATGTTGTCACAGATTGAGAAACTGTCTGCTAAATTCCTCACTTTCTCTTCTATTTTTTTCTTGGTATCCTGAATAAACTTGTCTCTTTCTGCTTCTCGTCTTATCTCTAGCAGCGTTACAGGTAGTTCTTTTATTGTATTGCATAGTACCTTACTGATTTCATCTTCAGCTTGTAATGCTGCAATTACCGAATCTTCTAACGGTTCACTTTTCGCAGGTATTAATCCCGATGGTCCGTCAGCGTGTCCTAATTTCTTTGATGGTAAGAATTCCAGTTTAAAATTATAGTTTAGTAACAGTTCCCCATCTTAAAAGTCTGTTCACTGTATAGACTGGTAGACCTTTTTTTGAACCGAAAATCGTAAGAAGTGGTTTGTGATCTGTTTGGAGTGTGAACTCTCTCCCATAAATATATCTGTGAAAACGAGTTACTGCAAAAATTATGCCTAATGCCTCCTTTTTGATCTGTGAATAGCTTCTCTCCACCAGTAATAATGATCTAGATGCGTGTGCAACAGGTTTGTTTGTACCGTTCCGCATCTTGTGTAAAATACACGCACATACCCCATGTGAGATCACGTCACTTGCAATAATGATTTCGAGTTCGGGATCGAAATGTGTCAATGTTAACTCTGAAATTAATTTTTGTATTATTTCCTTAAATGCTTTTTTACCACCGTTGAGCTTTGTAAATATCTCCTCTGGGCTCGGTATTGGGTAATGGTGGTCTCTTATTGCCTTGTTGAGTCCTGTCGAAAAATCTGCGCATATGCAAATTTCTCCTGACTTCTTTTTTTACATAAACCACCGGTGCTGCCCACTCGCTAAACTGTTTTTGATAGAATCCCAGTTTGTTCAAGTCTCTCCAATTCTTTGTCTATTTTTTCTATAGTAGTGAACGGTACATTTTACTTCTTTTTAAAAATTGGTTGGACGTTTTCTTTTAATTCTATTTTGGCCTTAAATTTGTTGCATCGTCCCAACCCGCTCGAAAATACCTCAGGAAATTGGTTATATAATTCTTCCTTCAATTTTATAGTATCTGATGGTTCAACCTCTTTTTGCAAAAAGAGTTGATAGGTAGGTCCCAAACATTGAACTTCTGCATCCAGTCGATACCTACTAGATTTTCAGTATCTTTCATGATGTATATCTTAAGTTTTTTTGTTTTGCCGTGAAATTTAACATTCACAATTATTTCTCCCTCAAATTTTATTCATTTGCCTGTAACCGACTTGGCAATTTTTTGTGTGTAACATGGTAGGTCTGTTGAGTTTTCTCCAAGTCTTTTAATCTTTTTATTTAAAATTTCCAGTTCCACATACTTCCTTACGTTGGTGTTGTCATCATTATGCATCCTTGTAGCTCTTATTTTATTAGTATCTTTTTTTATTTCTACATTGGGATGCCTTGTGGCCTTTTTTTTCACATTCAAGACAGTTTTTATATCTAAAGTGGCAATCCTTGTTCCAATGTAGTCCTCCACATCGATAACATGCTGATGGAGGGGGGGGGCTTATATTTACTTCGATATTCGTCATAATTTGTCTTGTATGTTGTACTTTTTCTCTTATTATAAAATTTTCTTTTTCTTTCCGGGAGGGTGAGAATCTTTTTCATTGTCGTAAAATTTTAGTTTTCTTTCGGGAGGGTGAAGAACGTGGACTTTTGTTTAACTTACGATATGAGAAACAGCTGATTCTTCAATGTCCTTTGCGTCTTTCTTTATACTTAAACATCTCTGGCAATCTTCCGATAATTGCTGTAATGTTAGACCCAGTTCATATTGTAATTTTGCAAGTATTCTGCGCATTTCGCTATCTTTTGTAGAAACCAACCCTTGAACAAAGATGAGACATTTGAAATTGTCTGGGGTTAATTCTGCTAGTTTGAAGTCGTCACAATGTTTATTTACGATTGCGGCAAACGTGGAATAATCCTCATTATCGCCCTTGACCAGGTTAAGGCATTTCCACCTCCTGTGGAAGAGTGATGTTTTGGGGCTGAAGAGTTCTTTAAGACATGTCACTGCTTCATCAAATGTTAATTTGTTCGTCTTTTTTGGCAAGATATAATCCACAAACTTTGTATATTCTTCAGTTCCTAATTTTCTAAGCAACAGACATAGCTTTTTTGCTTCTGTCCAATTTTGACAGTCGATATTAAACATATCTTCATGTCTTCTGAAGTAATCTCCAAAATTTTTGTCCTCATCTAGAGAATATTTGAAAATCTCTATGGTATTCCACACTGCGTCTTGCGAAAATGTTGCTTCTTTTTCAATATCTAATTGCTTGTTGCCCGCTACTTTCAATATTAGTTCCTGGAGCTCTATTTGTCTTTCTAATTGCTTTTGGCATTTTTCTTTCATTCGTTCTTGTAGTTGTAATAGTTGATCATTTTGGTGTTTTATCAGTTCTACAAAAATATTTTTAAAATCTATGATAACTCAATTTTACATATTTTTACTCCTTGTAACTCTTTATCACTAATTTGTTGTGGACGACAAGGGAAGGATTTTTGTATTTCTTCTTCTCGTGTGAGTTCAAATCGCTTGACGCCAATTTGCTTGTTGGACGACGAGGGAAGATTTTTCTTTTGTTGATTTTTTCTTTTCTGCGTGTGTTCGAATCTTTCCGAGATAAAATTCAGTCTCCAATGAATGACAAATGCAAGAATTAAATATAAGAAATAAAATGTATTTACACAATAATACAAAGGGTAATACTGTTAGTAAATCCAGGAACACGGTTAGTAGCAATAACATATAGATATATACAGTCTCGAAGTAGGACTTCCTTAAAGTCTACGTGCTTCTAACCGATTCCTACAAGCGGTTACCTCACACTATTACTCTACCTCCAACTCAATCACAATCTCCGTCTTCTTACTATCTCTCTCTGACTCTGGGTATTTAACGGCAGCAGTACAAATACATACTGGCCGAGTCCACTTATATGAAAAAGGGGAGGATCGCATATATATATATATATATATATATATATATATATATATATTCAAATTAAATCTGTGTTCATGTGTGTGATGTAAATATTTTAATCTTTTTTGTTGATTATCATGCAACACTGAACTGTCTATTTCATGTAAAGAGATAGTATTTTTTCCCTCTCTATGAAGGCAAATATGACACAAAGATAACTATAATATTGTGCTCAAAGATTGCTCTGTCATCACAACCTTTTCCTGAAAAGATATCAAAGTGATTTATGACCCTGGCCTTTGGTATAATAGGAGGTGTTGCCCAAGAATTAGAATAGCCAGGTATAAAAGCTGATGCTAGCTCCAAATGGACAGGAATAAGATTCTATAATTTGATTTGTGATAATATGTTGGAAAACTTTTTACTTGTTTATTTTAAATAATGCATTGTTAAGTTCAAGTATTTTTTTTAATATTTTATATTTAAGTATATATACATTTATTGATCAATTTGTTTTCTTTTTAAAGCATATCACAATCTTTTGCATGTTATTTGAAGCCAGAATATATCTTTAGCTTGTAAGAATTTTTGGGAGATAATAATGATTTACTGATACAAGTTCTACTAATTAATCCATAACTGGGGGAGGTGGATTCATACCTTTCCCAAAGGTATTTGTATGTAAGTGACTGGAATTAGAACTCAGCTTTCCAATTTCAAGCTGTTACACCACTTGCATATCAAAGCTTACAGCACCTGGTTTTCCCAATCAGTCACCCATCTAGGTGCTGATCAGGCATGACATGGCTTAACTTTGGTGATCGTATGAAAACCAGTGTTCCAATATAATATGGGTATAAACCAATTATACATGCAACTTAAGAAGTGTTAATAAGAAAGCTAAAAAATTTAAAATGATGTTGAAAGTTTTTAGTCTTAGTAACTATAATCCAGTTTATTGTCAAATCAGACAACTAAGGAAAATTTTTTATTACCATTCCTGACACCTATTGTGTGTGTGTGTGTGTGTGTGTGTGGTGGAAGGACAAGGTTTTACATAAATAAAATAACAAATTGTATAAGGATTGTATTAAATGAATGTCATCTTGTTAAAACTGTAAAAATAGAATAACCATGACTGCAAGAAGCGTTACTATAGAAACCACTAAGGACTTCTCAAATTACAGCTGTAGGGAGTGTTTGTGAGGAAGAAGGGTTATAGCTGAAAGATGTGCAAAACAGGGTTTCAAATTAAAAACATGAAAAGGGTCTAAAACTATTATTTTAAAAGGGCTTGGAAATTAAATTATTTTAAGACATATTAAAATTGTTTAATTTTAGAAATGATGTTCATCCAAATTAGAAATATAAAATTGTATACCATGACTTGTTTATAAAGGTATTTATATTATTGTTTTATTATTATTTTTTATTTAAATTCAGACAAAAGCTTAATTTTTTTTGTTTTTATAACAAAATTATTTGATAGAAACAAAATAATTTTAATCAATTCTAAATCAAATGTTTTAAAGCTAGTTTCATTAATAACTTTTTAGTATTTTGAACCATTAAAGAGACTTCTCGGACTTTATTACACATGCCTTTTGGGTTAAAAAGTGTGTGTTATTGCATTGAACAATTCTTAAATATAACCTTGCTCTTTTTGGGTAGTAACTGGCTAATTATTCTTTTTTATTTTTATAATCTTCCACATGAAAGTAAGGTAAATTATATATGAATGCTTAAAGATTATATAATTATACAGGTACCTCCACTGATTCATTAAAAAATTAGCATACCATGTTGACAAAATCCCATACTTAATAAAAACAAAGTTTTATTTTCAACATATGTTATTAAGAGGAAAGAGAAAAGGATTTTTTTTATTAAATTAAATTTCATCTTTTTAAGAACATTCAAAACTTTGGTTTAAAATCTTTTGTTTGTGTCAACAGGCAGAGTAGGGAAAAAAATGTTTAATATTTTGTGACACTTTTTTGTGGTGAAAGACATTGATTTGGAAATTTCTGGAAAAATCAGTTGTCAGATTTTAATAGAAATTTTAGGACTTATTCGCAAATAAAACTATTTTAGAAAGTTTTTTGGGTTTTTTTTTTTGTTTTGTTTTTTTAACATCTTTAAAATTTGTCACTTAATGTTACATTCAGTACCCAAAACTGCAGAGTTTTGTAGGTGAACATTTTTTTCTGTCCACTGATCAGGAGGTATAAGCAACTGACTGTCAATTTCCACAGTTATTTTGATATTAAGCTAAAAATAATTTTTTTTTTTTTTTTATTGGTGTTAGGTTAATTTTTTTTCTTCTTTTTGTATAAGTGTGTGCACCAACATGTGGTTATTTCTCCTATACATAATTTTCTTGTCACCTTATACTCTATCTTTTTCTCTTTTTTAGCACTGAGTGTCAAAGATAATGTAACAATGTCATTTCCAGTATATATATATATATATATATATATATATATATATATATATATAAATAAAATGATTAATACAAATGTGAAATTTCTCACTTAGCTGATTGATGTTATATTCAGCACCAAAACTCCAGAATTTTGTAGATCCTTTTTTGTAATCATTTGATCCATTCATCAGGAGGTATTATATATGAGTATCCTGTCTCCAATAATACATATCAATTAAATAACAAAAATAAGAAAATTAATAAAATAGATTATCACTTTTCAGCCAAACATACCCCCCCACACACACATGTCAAATACTTCTGCAGTGATAACTTCCTAACAAGATAATGATGGCAGAAATTAACAAATATAAAAAAAATGTATTTTGGGAGTTTTTATAACCTACTTAAATTCTGTTTTCCAAACACTTGGCAGTAAAGGAGTTATTTCCTCTTGAATTCACTTGCAGCTTTGAAAAATCAAGTATCTTATCTTGAAAAAAGAAAGAAAAAAGTCATTCTTGACAAAATGTTACTTAGAAATAAAGAAAAAAGCAGCCAAGTTAAAAAAAAATAAGAGGAAACCATTCTAAATATAATTTGTAGGTCACACTTTAAAGATATTTCTGTTGTAATTTGCCCATACAAATTTAGATACACCCACTTAGATTTATGAATATTAGATATAAAATTGTATAGAATAAACTGATATGCATTTTGATTCATTACTTTGAAACACCACAAATATATTGTCACTTGATATCTTCCATATTTTGCACAAATTTAACTTTTAATTTTAAATCAGTCGAATTTACAAACTTGACTTCCAGCTTAAAAACAGAAAATGAAAAAATACCAAAATTTTTCTGTAAATGTCTAGTTTAATGAAAACCTTATATATATTGCAATGTTAGATTAATATATCTGAATGTGGAAGAACTGACCAAGGGCCTTAAAAGATCTTAAAATAATTTATGCATTTCAGTTGCTAAAATGCTGATATATCTTTGATCTTTATATAACAAAACAGTGATGCTATGTTTAGAAGGACTAATTTTTACAGGAAAATCATAATCTTAGATATTTTCTTTATGAAATTAAACTACAAAAATTTGAATCAAAGATTAAATGTGTCAAAACAACTCAACCATATTTAAATTTTATATCAAGTCACTATTTTCTTGTGTAACCAAATTGATTAAATACATTAATCATTAAAAAATATGTTCAGTTGACGAAGTTAATAAAATTTGTTTTTCTAGCAAGTTTTTAAAAATGCTTTTACTTAAAAAAAAAAAAAAACAAAAACAAAAGAGAAATTTAGGCCAAGTCTTTAATATTTATATATATATATATATATATATATATATATATATATATATAAAGAATACCAGTATTATTAATTTTGATGACTATATATTTCATGAGAGAGATTGTAAAAAAGACAAACATTGCTAAGATCTTCAAAGTATAGGAAGTTGTGGAAAGCTTTGACTGCCCACATCCAGAAGAGATATGCCACATAGAATATATCTTTTATCTTAATTTCAGTTGCTTTTATCACAACTTCTCAGGTTTATCATTCTATGACCATAAACAGAAATAAATTTAAAAAAAAAAAAAAAAAAAAAAAGAAGCATTTCATAAGATTTACAAGCATTTCATGAGATTTACAACCATTTTTCTTTGGGAATCTAGTCTTAGAACAACAGCTACCTTATCAATTAGGCTACATAAACCCAATAGCTGCAAAAGCTCAAATCAAACTTTCATTTTTCTTTAATTTTCCCCCCCAAATGTCGTAATTATTACCATCTTTAATATTTGTTTATATACATTGATAGCAATAGGAGCAAGTCCATCATCATAGTGTTTTGAGTGGAGGAGATGGACATCCTTTCAGTCAGAGGGGGGCCATGAGTAATAATTTGCACACTAAAATTAGTTCACAACATTTGGTGGTGGTGATGGTGGTGGGGAATATGATTTTTGGTGGGGAGGTATGTTCTCTAACACTCGTCCCCCCTTCGAGTAGTATTATCTTGAATTTTATTAGGTGAAGTATTATTCAGTTATTTATGTCATCTTAACTCCAAACCAATACTAAAGATTGCATTAACTTGAATATTCAGGGAAAATAAAGAAGATAAACTATATGGATAGATTTTTGAGGTTTTGAAGCAGTTAGGCTCTAATAGTTTAATTTGTAACCCAGCTGTTACGCTACCAGCCTCACTGAAGGATTATTCATTATTTCCCCATTTACTTTGCAGCCACAAAATAAAGCAATAAAAAAAGCAAGTGAATTTAATATGAAAGAAATACTTGTCAAAAATTCATAATTGATCATGATACATCTAATAATTCAACATAATATTAGTAGAAAACATGTTTCAAAATTTCCATGGGCTAATGAAAACTCATCTCCTTTCCAGATATCTTCCTACACCACCTCTTAGTTGATTGATTGTTTAATGGCATATCAACTCCTTATGGGTCATTTAACGACAAAATTTCATTTTCTTGGCAGCTTTAAGTAATAAAAATATGATATATGTTATTCTGCTTTCTCAATAGAATACATGGTAGATGATACTCAGCTTTTGTGCATATACATATTTGTGTGAACAATTACTAGAGATGGTGATATGTGTGTTTTATGTTGTAGTTTTGTTGAAGTTATTTGGAATACAGTTTGATTTTAAAAATTGTCAGATATTATATGGATTAATGTCATGAAAGAGTTTTCATGTTGGTTGCACATCAACTTCTATGGTTTATTCAATGCCAAAATCTAAAATAATTTGAGCATAATTTATGGCTTCAACTAAATATATTTTGAATGCAAATAAAATGCATTGCTGGTCATTTTGCTTTAAAAATGTATTTTTGGTCATTTTTTATATAAAAACGTATTTTTATACTTTCATAGTGTTTTGTTTTTGTTTAACGGGGGTTCACTGTTTGCCCAAAGCTGGGACCCTAACAGGTACTACCACCCTGGTTCAAGGTGGCTTTCACACCACCTCTTAAGAACACCTCTGGAATATCCAATTTAATAAGTTTCACTTAATCTGGTACAAAACCAGAAATTAAGTCATTTAATTTGGAACCACCATTAAGTTTTCTTTCAATATCATTAAAATTTTTTTTCTTTTTTTTTTCTGCTATCACAAAAAAGTTAAATGAAAAATAATGCTCACAAATCAAATTAAATAATAAAAAAAAAACTCAAATAAAAAAAATAAACAAACAAAAAGTATTAAACCTGCCACAAGAGAGTTCACATTCTTCTCTGGGCTTTTGAACAGGAGTAGAGGTGTATCCCTTGTTTCCTGTTTATCATTAGGTTTCCACTTCCTTCTAAAGTCTGCTTCAGCTCTATACTCCTAATTCTTGTTCTCTCCTACACTAATATAA